CTCACACTGAGCAGAACCAATTGTTCTGCAGAGGGCTCTCCATCTGGAGATCTGTCACAACATCCCAGCTCTGAGGGAACAGGAGGGGCCCCCTATAGGCCCACCATCACCTTCCACACCCATGGAGCAGGCTAATAAACTGGTGTCTACAAGCTTAAAAGACATACGTCACTTTTATAATATTTCTTTAAATACTCTTTATTTAATTTACAATGGTTGACATTTAAACAAATATAACCGGCCCTTCTGTAAGTTGGCGACTGATAAAAGCTAGTGAGTGTAGTAAAGAGTATAGTATAGGAAATATGAACAGTAGCCAGAAAACAGTATTTTGACCAAATAATCATACATCAAGGTCTTTTTAAATGGAAACCACCTTCATTCGAAGGTTTGCAGTAATATTAATCTGCTGTATAGGATAGATTTGCTCATATTGTAAAATACACCATAATATTTGTTTAATATATTCTATATGATATTTTTAAAACCTCTATCCTCAACACACGTGAGTCTTATTATTTATTCATTTTTATGCAAATTGTCCTCCCATAATGGCAGAATATTGAACATATACAGCATATTATTTAGCTTTTTTTTTAAAAAGTGTATAGTTTTACGATGATGGAAGAGGTCATGACCTCCACTAAATGTGTAATGTCTGTCCTGAGGGATGAGAAAGGGATTTCATGTCGACGGTCCGTTTAGTGGCTCCTCTGAAGCTTTTAATCCTATGCCACGATCTTCATCAGAAGATGGAGTTTGCACTATTGTTATCTATTTATTAGCTGACGTGGATATTTTTTTAATCTGTTGAAGCTTTTTTCGAGCATTTCAGTATTCAAATTCAAAATGTAAATTCAAAGCTACACAAATTGGCCAAACTGCAACTGCCGATAAAATGTCTGTAACATGATTAAAACCTTTCAAACGGGCTGCTGTATTAAGACTGTTTTGTCAGTGCTGTTTGCAAGGCTTAAGTTGAACTTGTAATAGAGTGGTGCAGGAACAAGTCCTAAAACCCGGAAGTGGAGTTTTACCACTACCGGTTCCCTCGTCTCAGAGCCAATGGGATTTCTCCATAGGATTTTGGAAAATAGCTCCAAATAAGGTCTGTGTTTGACACAAGTGTAAGAGATGGATCACGTTTTGTTTCTATGACATTAAATACATCAGCAGTGACCCCACTGGTGATTTCTGAAGAGTTTACGTATCTGAAAAACGATGGTTGTTAACAAGTGGCTGAATAGGACTACAGAAGTTGTCGAGGCCGTTGTACGTCATTATGCCGAACACGTAAACACTCCCGCTAAGTTTGTTTTCCCTGTTCTGCTTGAAAGCAAGTACCCCTGCCCTCCTGCAAACTGTTCAAACAAACACTTCAATTTGTACAATTTTGAATCTGTATTTTTGAATATCGATCTTAAGTTGACGTGACGTTGAAGTCGTGCGACCCTGCTGTAGTTCGTTTATAGCATAACGTTAGAATTTTGCTTCTGGCGATTAGATTTATGATTCGAAAAGTAGGGTAGACATGTGGATATTATCTGGCTGAACAAAACGTGCATTTATGTAATAGGTTCGTTTTCCACAGACCTTATTCCTAACTATTTTCCAAATCTTATGGAGAAATCCATTGCTTTTTTTGTTCCATGCGCAGCTTATTTCCGGGTAAATACGTCATCCCTGCCACCACTCCATTATGTGTTTGTAGTGAGTTGAGGCTGTAGTGCTGTGAAATATAACTCAAGATCATAATTGCATTCATTTTATGTCTGTAATTAATGATATTTTTAGTGTAACAATATTCTAATGGAGGAACATACTTATACTCGAATACATTATCAGCAGTGAATTAAGTAATTAATGTTTTTCTACAACTAGGTCTGAGCATGCACACACTGCTGGGATGAGGTAATCTTCTCTACTAATGACCTCTAAAATCCAGGGCAGGAGGCAGATTCTCTATTTTAGGCAAAACCTCATAAAATATTCATAAACTTAATGAAGTCACTGCTTAATTTTTCTATTTAATTCTTTATTTCTGCGCTGTACAATGCCTACACTGTTGTTTGCACTGAAGGGGTCACTTTGGGTACACATTGTGAGGGCATTACAGCCTGTTTGTGAGTTAGTCTTCCTCCAGAGGCAGTGAGAAGTGAAACTAACTTCAGTCTGCACAGACAGACAGGCTGTGTTTAATCCACTGGCCTGCATGGCTCTAACTCAAATCCTGAAGCATCACTGATGATAAATCATTCAGAGGCCAGCAGCAAGTGAGCAGTTATGCTTCAGCTCCTTCTGGTGTTCTGTCAAGTTTTAATATTTGTGCCGCAATGTTTATACTGCCCTTGGACTTTACAACCCAAAAACTGTGTTTCCGTCTTTCTATTTTCATGCATGGCTCCGATAACACTGCAAGCCTGTGTTGCATAGTGCAATCTACAAAAGACAAATAGAAGTAAATGAAAAAAAGAATGTGCTATCATGTCTTTGTTTGTTTTCCTTGAAATGACACATCAAAATAAGACTATGGGCACGAACATGTTTTCAAATTCAACTTTGCTTTAAAAGTGATTTTGAAATAAGTATTTCAATGGAGTGGTCACCAATGATTTAAAAGTTGACGCCTGATTTTGGAAACTTATTTTTGTTAAGTAGCCTTGTTTTGTTTTTAACTTTCACAATAGTTTAAAGAAGGCCCTGACTGTATGAAAGCCAAGCTACAGATTGGCTCGCCCCTCCTTGAGCCCCACAGATACTCTCTACCTAAGCACTCCTCATTCTTAGAAACAGTATTAAAGCCCACAGAGCTGCATAAGCTGCTGCTGGAGGTGTAAATGGAATCCCCTTGTAAAGCAACACTGGGATTACAGCTACAGGGATTCAGTCTTTGTGTCCTGGCTGTTAGTAAATACACACGTGGGAGTGGACATTGTGCACAGGTCACAGTAGAGGACAGGGATTCAGTGGCACTAATTACCACTTACCATTAGGTACCATTAACCTGGGAGCAGTCAGCATTATTCTATGGAACCATACGAAAGTATAAGCATGAAGGCCCTATACCACAAAGTATGTCATGAATGAAAGGCAATAAGATTATCAAATGATGTATACAGTATGTTTTGGAAATGTAAGCATTGCATTTTAAAGGATTTATAGGATTTATAGAACATCGTTGTATCAGTGGACAAATTAGGAAGCAATTTCTAATGAATGGATGCTCATTAATTAGGACTTGTTTCCTAATTTGACTGTTTATTTGGTCTTAAGTGCCAACATCAGAGTGTGACTTAATGGACTTCAAACAGCTGCTGCCAGACGTAAACAGTGACTGGATCTGCTATCTTTGTAGCGTTGCTGTTGCTTCTTGTGATTGACTGCACCTGTTTTATCTTGTGCCTTTAACCAGTCCTCTCCATGACTAGAGAGACACGCTGCCAGTCAGTTTTATCTTCACAAAAGGTTGTCCATCTTCTCTTGAAGCAGCTTCATGCAGCTGTGAGTGCACTTCTGGCTATAGGGCCGCAACTCTATTGAGTGATTAATGGTTTCTCTATCAAATGTCCATCAATTCTAAAAATGTCCAACACCGTTTCCCCAAAACTCAAAAACCCAAAGATAATCGATTTGTATAAATATAGCCACATTTAAGATGGCAGCACCACACTTTTGGAACATTTGCTTGTAAAATGGTCTAAAAGATGAATCGAGTATGTTTTCCCCCTTTTGAAGCAAATCAGCTTCACTGTGGCTTAATAATGGAAGACAAGTAGATGCTCCTTACTCTCCATCTGCAAGCTACCCGCTGACATTCAGCCCAATTATTCACACTTGCTGGAATGCAACTACAGCCAACAGGAGAGGATTTCCTTTAAAAAGTAAAGGCAGCAAGAGGGAAGTTATGTCACTAAGATCCTCCAGGCATCCCTCAGATATGCTGCAGTGCCTGCTGGCAGAGTGGATTGTTCTTCTGAGAAGGCTTGATCATTGAATCATGTGGTATTTAATGGATGTGGTTATGTCAAGTTGTTGAGCCCACAAGCTATTCATCATCAGAAACATTCAAGAGTTTAAGACATACGCAGACTTCCCAATCAACTATCAATTAAAGCCTCAACTGAAATGTCACAGTATCAATGTAAAGTTACAGTTTAATGCTTCAAGGGGAATTTAGGTGACACAGTACATTTACATGCACACAGTTACTAGGGGAAATATCTGGCCCTTTAGCAGCTAAATACTTACCGTGCTCACCAGCTAAAAGCAGCTGCAGACAGCTTCCTGCTGCAGCTAGAACCAACACTGATGCAGCTTTAAATGCCCTGATTGTAAGAGAATATTTTCATCTGATCTGTTTATAGAGTCTCTTATGGTTCCTTAGAGTCTGTGATACTGCAAACATCTGCTTGTAGTCAGTCAGAGACTCCTCTGTAGGTTGAGGTCACAGGTCAAACGCTTCTCCTATGTCCGTGGGGGAGGGTTGACCTGGCAGCATCTCTTTGAGACAAGCAGACCATTGTCTCGCATCGGCTATTGATTAGGTATACGCGGGCTTTCTGGGAGCCCGCCTCTCCTCGTGTTGGTTAGATGTTTTGTGTCTTTTGGTTCAGAGATCGCTGGTGGAGCACTGGACATGTGTGAAACTAAGATGATCTCCCGGCCGTATTGTCTGTACTTTCTCCAATAAAACTCTCAGTGCTTTTGGCTAACAACGGTTCCAGACTCCTTCATTCTACCTCAACATTGCAACAACAGAAGTTTACCTTCACACTGATTACCGTCCACTTCCTGTCCTAACATGATTTCAGTAAGGGATTGGGTAAAGATTAAGAGAAACCTAGTAAACACAGCTATAGTTCTGCAAAGACAAATTGTTGGGGTTTTCACAATACTGCATGTGTGTGACTTTGAACAGGGGCAAATATGCTTGTCTTCAATTACTTTGGTGACCAAAACTTCTGCATGATTTCTAATGTCGGGTTTTTTTTTCTTCTCAGGGTGACTCCGCAAGATGAAGACACATCCCCCTCAGGTGCTCCCGGGTGTTCAGATGGGCCTACAGGTGCTAGCGGGGGTGCTATGGCCATCTCCACCCTCTCGTTGCCCATGAGCCAGGGCAAACCTTCCCTGCGTCGGATCAAAGGCCGCATTCACCGCAGCAAGAGCCTGGACAGCATGGATCTGCTCGACTCCAATGTAAGGCCCACTGATCACATGATCACACCAACATGTACACTCATAGATGGACAGGGTGAACTTGCTGCCAACAACGATTATGAATTAGTATGCTGATTTTTTTATCAATCCTCCAAATTAAATTAAACAATTGTTTGATTCTCATAAACAATTCAAGTCGAAAGTAATTATTATTTTTTGTTTTGTTGAACATATAAAATAACAAGAAATCCAAAAACATATGTTCTGCTTATGGGTGAATTCAGATTTAACATTTACACAAGCAGCAGCGCTAATACGCACACACAAACACACAGGCGTGACCTTTGGTTATGCAATATTTCTTTGATTTTCAGATGAGCACAGTTTAACACATTCCATATGTTTCTCTCTATGACTGGTTTATTCTCATGAATAGTATTAATCTGATAAATGATTGGGTAAGCTGCTTGGACCTTAAAACCCTTCCTATCTCTGGGATTGTCCAGTGAGCTGAGAACTGCGTTTGGCCCTCTCTTTCCTCCGCTCAACTCATGCGTACTTGTGCGTGTGTGCTTCTGTGAGTACCTGTGTGTGTGTGTGTGTGTGGTGTGTGGTGTGTGTGTGTGTGTGTGTGTGTGTGTGTGTGTGTGTGTGTGTGTGTGTGTGTGTGTGTGTGTGTGTGTGGGTGTGTGTGTGTGTGTGTGTGTGTGGTGTGTGTGTGTATGTGTGTGTGTGTGTCCGTGTGTCTGTGTGTGTGTGAGAGAAAGTGATGTGACTTTTGGGAAAGCAACCAACGGTTTATGATGTAAGAGCATGCCAACCTGCTACTAATGCATGCTTGGTAAGGCTGTTTTTTTTTTGTGGCATGGGACCACAGTGGACACACAGATACAGATAAATATCTCTCCTGAACATCACTATTCAATGTCTCTCTATCTCTCTCTTTCTCTGTCCTCACTTTTACTTTCTTTGTCTCCACTCTCTGTAGATGTCTCCTTTAATAAATGTCCACATTGTGATCTTTCCTCGTCTGCCCCCTGTCCTTCTTCTCCCTGTTGACTGTGTGTGTGTGTGTGTGTTGTGTGTGTGTGTGTTGTGTGTGTGTGTGTGTGTGTGTGTGTGTGTGTGTGTGTGTGTGTGTGTGTGTGTGTGTGTGTGTGTGTGTGTGTGAGAGAGAGAGAGAGAGAACTCATCATGGGGTGTTATGGCTGGCCCTAATTGAGAGCAGCCTGGTGTGCTTTTGTGAGGAGTCATTATTCTTCTCCAGGAGTGCGACTCGTTAGTAATATAGTTCACACAAGGTAACCCAAAATTGGTGACGGATGGAGGCTTGAATGAAGTTGCAGGGTGGTATGACACAGCAGAGAGATATCCATTCAGAACACAACACACACACACACACACACACACACACACACACACACACACACACACACACACACACAACACACCACACAAACACACACACACACACACACACACACACACACACACACACACACACACACACACACACACACACACACACACACACACCACAGAGGTTGATCGAGTCTTGTCACTTTAATGACTGCTGGGATGGAGTTTCCTGCTACTTTCTCATTTTGAAACGGAGGCAATAGTATTTAATTGATTTTTAGAAATATCCTTGAGTGCTCTGGTCGACAATTATTGGCAGTGAGTTTCTGGCCTGAATCCAAGCTGTTGTTTTTTACTTTTCAGACATGGTTGAAGTAATTAAGATCAAGTGGTTGTACTGGAACTGTAGAGGCATGAAGGTTAGAAGTGACTTTACTGTTTTGACATTCACGAAAACAAGACCTTATATCAGTGGTGGTGGTGTACTTTGAGTTGAGTGGGAGATGTGTTGTCCAACTACTGTTTATTAACCCTGCAAATGCTGTAAAAGGGGCTGAAACATTTATGGAAAATATCTAATACAATGTTGTGATTTCTGTTTCTGTCAATTCAATTCAGACCTGTAGCTGCCGCTGCAGTCTACATTTTTCGGTAGGTAGAGGAAGGAAACAAGCCTGTTCACAATGTATTCAAACATGAATCTGTTGGGAAAATTAAACAAGGCCTTCATTAACATTATTAGTAATACGTTTGCTTTTCTGACTAACATTAACTTAATATGATAAAGTTCATTTTATAACCGATACAATGATCACTAGTGAAATTAACCACCAATAACTAACACTTGGTCCTACAACTTGTGAAGACCCCGTTGATTATGTAAGTTAAAATACAATTGCAGCTGTTTTGCTCTTTTGCATAGCACATTACTTGTGTTACCATAGGTAAAAACAAGGTGTGTTTTGCATTACAGACATTTATCTCACAGTTTTTTAGGCTGTTATTTGCTCAGGTACAAGCCTTACGTTTCCTAATCTGCAAATTACATTAAAAACCCTAGTGTGCATTCAGCTGTATTTCAGACATCACCGTAAAGATTTAAAAAAATAGTCATAGTGATGCTTCACAGTTCTATCTTTAAAGACAATGCTTCAACAAGGATAGTCTTCAAACGCAGCCTAAAGAGAACCTGTGGAGTAAATTTCCACTCACAGTAATCTCAGTGCATTGCATACACGTCATGTTATAGGCTTTATAATATTCAGCTGAGGTAAAAGTTTGCATATAACCAAGCTCGCCTACGCGTCTCCTTTCCTCCATTATGAATATCGAGGATGCACTAAAAAAAGGCCTCGGCATCCATTTCATCCCACTGAGCTCTCACTCTATGCAACATGATGGGATGCATGAAGCATGTTACGCAAAATACATTAGCCTTCCTCTTACAACTCTGTGGACCATCATAAGATGTGCATGAGTTTAAGTCTGAAGCATGAATAATAGATGGGAGAAATAATCTACATCATAATGTAGTGTTTTCTTTCTTTCACTTGCAGCTATTTTTGTGTGAGGAAAAAAACAACCCTGTGAAGTCCGTGGAGAAGAGAATCTGAAATCTGTGGAACTCACCTGGGATTTCAGCTGTTATTTATTCAATACAAAGCGATGGCTCCTGTCTGTCTTCCAATGCAAAGAAGCTGCCAATGTTTACTTCACTGTGGGGGATTGATTCCTTACACTCATGTCAATGGGTAGATGTGTGTGTCGATGTGTGTGTATGTGTGTCGCTGTATTGTGTGAGCTGATAGTCTTTAGTCCTTGAAAGTACACACTGTTTTGGAGAAATCCATGAGGCGCCACTCTGGTTTGATTCCCGATAAATCCTGCTGCACTGTGGCTTTAATATTCCAATTAGGCTGTCAAAAAAAGTCGAAGAAGGGTCAGTACCTTTAAAGACCTGGTTTATTTTTCCGAAAATCTATCAGATGAGCATGGTCTGATCTGCAACCTGTATGATTAGGTTTGGTTAAACACAGTAAAGTGAATCCTGTGTCAATTTTTGCAAATGTAAAGCATTTAACCAATAATACACTTTCCATTCGAAAATCTTTTTAACAACTTTCATGATCTATACGGCACACAATTAGGAGTTATTTAGGGTTACGAAAACATATCAAGTAAACACCACAATACTTTAATTTAGAATTGCAGAGTAATCATAGTGTTAAAGTATTACATACAGAAGAAAACCTGCACCTCTTGCAGCTTCATTAGAGGATATTAATTATATCAGACTAACGTTAGATTTGTTACATATCTAATAATTAAAACTGTCTTTAACAGTAAATCAAGTTACCCGAATTTCCCTTCAAAGGACTTCAGTCAGACTGGTTTTATATCCAATAATCTGCATACCTGATCTCCATGATGGAGTGGTGTGTGGTTCACTGCAGCTGACGTTAACCCCACTGCTGGAAACAGCTGCTCAGCTGGACAGAGTTATCGCCCCAGTTTAGTCCGGTCATATAAGCAGATCACGCATGTTGGATGCTATTTTGGCACATTTCCCATATTTTAGCATAGTATGTACACAGGTGGGTTCATAACAGGCTACTCGAATACACCATGTACAGTAAGCATTTAGCAGAACTGTTTTACAGCATGCTACATGTTTATAGCATGTATAGTGAAATGATTTCTGTTCAGTGAATCTTATATTGAAATACCAAATATTTATAAATCTGTTGTAGAAAAACAGCAGCCAATTATTTTATTCATTTGAAAGGCATCTGTCGTGCCCTTTTTTCCAGACTTTTTGAGTGTAGTGTTATACACTTCATCATGTACTCTGCTGAAGCTGCTGGGTACAGACTAAATAAGGAAAACACTCAGACAGCGACTGACAGAGAGAGCAGAAAGGAGAGATTTCAGAGCAGGATTGATGAATGCGAGGGAGGAGTGGAGGTTATGACATGGATGGCGCTATGAGAGATGAGAGAATGGTTTGACAATAGGGTGCAGGATGTTCCCATTAGATGAATATATTTCCCCCGGATAGACAGGAGGCTCCGCAGACACCTTATAGCTCATTCATCTCAGCCCTTGTTTTCAAGGCACAACAGGGCAAAATTGCATTTCACATACAAGTCATTTATCTTACCTGAGTTGAAACATGCCACTGAAAAGCGTCTGTTGTTACATGTGCATGCTATGGGCCTCTACTGTGCATGTGTGTGTCTTGCATGGGGAATGGTGTGACAGTAACAGTGGTATTTTCTGAACAAATTAAAGTAGCGCTTAGCTTCTGGGATCATCATACTCTTCGTCATTATGGAAATTAAATACAGACATCAGGCAAAAGTAGCTGAATGTGTACGTTTGTAATTAATGTGGCCACCAGCTTATTTGGAGGATAATAAGGCTTTCATTTACAAACCCTGAAAAATGATAGATACTGGATGAAGAAGATAGTTACCCATTTGAATTCCTTTGAAGTCACATTAGGTCGTTTGATATAGTCAGACATAGTCGGTATGAATATTCTTGTTTCTGTTTCCTGTAAGGCTCACCCTTTAAAGCAGGCAGGTGTCTTGGCTGCAGAGTATTAATGTGTTCTGCACTAACAGACACATTAGAGAGGCATGTGCTATTTCATACAGTATGTATGCTTTAAATATGAA